CTCCCAGTGCAGCCTGGAGCTCTGGCAGTTGAATGGGGAGCCTAGACTGCTGAGGTCCTGAAAACAAGACTAGGAGAAAAGGAGTTGGTGAGAGAGTGACAGGGAGACGGGGATGTTAGGGAGAGAAGACTGGAGCCACTCAAAAGACTTCAACCTTTGCATTCTTCTCCTTGACAGGAGCTGGACATCCAAGAAGAAGCAGCCTCGTGTTTCTCTGGTGTCATCGTAGGTGTTCACCTTTGGCTTTTGGGGTATTTATTGTCTTGTTTGTTTTCGATAGTGGTGTTGGGGGTTGGCCCTGCAATCACCTGGGTTTTCTCCTGTTCCCTACACCTCTCTACCCCACACCCTGTCTCTTCTAGCTTTCAGCCCCTGACTTTGGTCTGTTCTGATTGTAGTAAGACTTGTATAGTCATTGATATTGGGAATGGAACATGGTGGCTTAGGAATGAAGGCCACCCGGTGCCCAGGTTTGTGAGAGAGAGAAGAGGCACAGAGGGTTCTGGGGACTCTTTTCCCCTTCTCTCATAGGCTCCTGAGGGCAGAGATGGAGGCCAGTTGAGCCAGGAAAGGTGGTTGGTTGCAGAGGGGAACAGAAGTACCTGTACGTGGATGACAGAGGTGAGAAAGGAGAGGAGTGTGGGTTGTGGTGAGGAGGGTACCTGGAGAACTTAAACAGCTGTGAGTGGGTGTGTTGTGCCGGGGCATGTAAGCATCCGGAGGCGGTACTGCTGGGAATATCCGTGGATGTGTCATTGCGCTTGTCTTAGTTGGTAGGTCTGTGTGTGTGTGCGTGCATGTGTGCAAACACAACACCCTTACACACATGTTTTTGCCCCTCAAGGAGACCATTTGCTGATGGCTGACTCCCTACTACCTCTGTCACCTTGTTCTCACCTTCCTAAATCCATAGGGTTCTCAAGCAAGTAAGCAGTGTGTGGGTTCAAGGACAGAACTGGGAGCAGGCACGGGAGGCAGTGCTTAGATGGGCCTGAGGAATTATCAGGCTGGCCTCTCAATGAGAGGAAAAACACTTTATGGGGAGCAAAGGGTAGTATCACCAGGGACAAAATCCTCCGGATTATGTCTCCATGCCCTTTAAATGCGTCTGCCCATATAGAGATTTTTTTTACAGCTTCAGCATTTTTTATTGTCAATTCTTGCTTTTATTTGTCACTATCCCATAGACAGCTCAGTGCAAATATTCAATAGCAAAAGAATAATGTATGATAATGTTCACATAATGATGCACTTATAAGACAGAAATAAATACCTGAACCCACCCAAGTCTGAATGCAGCTTTATCTGAATCTTCAAGGCAATTAACCTGATAAATGAAACAAAGAACAAATATGCTTTTTATTTAATTATCTGAATATTTCAAGAGAGTGGCTTGATGCCAAAATGTATTTTGGGACCCAAATTATAAAGATCTGTCCAAAAACTGCGTCTAGAGAGCCTAATTCAGGCCGTGTTTTTCTAAACATGGGCCTCTTCAGGGACACAGACAATGGATGGGCATCAGGGCTGTAGGGATGGGTGTAAGGACAGGCACTGGCGAAGAATGTAGGCTTCTTGGCTAATTGAGACACTTACAGACTCAGATCATCATGAGGGATTCGGCGTGCTCTCCCCACAGTCCGCCAGAATTTCCCTGGAAGGACTTGGGTGGGGTCTGCAGACCATCCGCTCTACAGAACACTGCAGCGGAATGTGCTGTGTGCTGGAAGCAGAGGGCTCTGCTCCAGCTGAGGCCTTGCTAAGAGGCTGAGGCTGGTGGGCCAAGCACAATGGGGACCTAATGCACCCATTTTGCTCCAGCTGTTAGCTTCTCTCAGGTCTGCTGTATCCAGTTCCAAGTAGTAGAAGGGTCTCCTTTGGTCAAAGGAATTGTCGAATAGTCACTAATACACAACACAATAGACAATACTTCCCCCACTCCCCTCTCACACACACCCATACACAGGTCCCACAGGACACGTATTTTGTCAATATCCTCCCTCTCCACGTGAAGGCAAACTGAGACTTGCAGCCCCACCTAAGGGTACACACATACTTTTCATTTAATATCAGTTACTGGGCACCCACTATGTTTTAGGCATGGTGTTGGATACCATAGACTTGAATATGTATAAAATCACCTCTGCCCTTGAGGGGCTGTTTCATCTGGTACCCTTGAAGTAGTTTCTTTTTTGAAACTGGAGTAACATGGTTTGGTATACAAACCAATCCCAGTTAACACGATGGTGGTGAGTTTTCTGCTTCTTTCATGGCTTGTAACTCCATCTCCACCATCATTCCTCAGCAGGAGCTGTGGGAGATCAGGTTGTCAAGTCCCCCCAGACAAAACCAAACAAAAAATTACTTCATCAGGAATCTGGACAGAGAGGGGGATTCCAAGTAGATAGTGCGAGGACAACTTACAATAATCTCCATTTTTTCCATTTTCTTTTGTAGAGGCCACTGTATGTTTGGACAGTCTGTTTAAGCTGAGATATCTCTGTAGAACCCAAAGCCACAGTAAGATGCAAGGGGATCTAGTTCTTTACCTAGCTATTTGGAGAAATTTAGATATATACCCAATTCTCTCCTGACCTTGGTTTTTGAGGAAGTCCAGTTGAATCTGATTTGACCAATAGGGGTGGGGGGTTTCCATTTGGCAAAGAAACCTTTCTGTCCTCCTCTCTCCCCAACAAAAACATAGCAGTTGCTGAAAGAGAAGGGATGTTCATGCTGATCCCAACTGCTTCTTGCTAGGCTGCCTAGATGGCCCAGGCCAAGGCAAGTGGTTGTGGAAATAAGCTTGGGCCCATAGAGGGCAGGGGACTTGGTTGGAAATTGGTGAGAGAGAAGAAGAATGAGACTGTTAGCTAACAGGACAGCCTCTTTCCCACCTGCTGGCCCCTGACTCCAGGCGCTGGGTGAGGGGAGGATGGAGAAGAAGAAAGGTTTGTTTAAAGTGCTTCTAAGAGATCTCTTGGGAGGGCAAATGGGGAAATAATTATAGGGGAAGTTGGTGGTGTGTTTGAAGAAGTGTAGACCCTATTTAGGATTGCTGGAGTGTCTAGAGGATATTGGGTATCCTGTAAAGGGGTGTGAGGTAATGTACTGAGAAATATTTGAGGAGGTTCGTCGCATGAAGAGGAAAGGGTGTAAGAGGGCTGTAGTTTCTCTGGGGCCTGGTATGGGGGATGCATTTAGGGAATGCATTTAGAGCACGCCAATAGGGTAGGTCTATCTGTGAGAGTGGGGAGGGTTCCGCTTTCCTGCAACTGTACTGGAGCAACAGACACTCCAGTGCTCCCTCCATTCTACGCTGTAGGGGCACCTAGGAGGGGAAGGAGGACACAAAACAGAGAGTGATCATTTTCCCTCTTTCTTTCTCTCCCCACCATTGGCTGGTGGGCTCTCAGTTCTGGGGTGAAGATGAAGAATTGATACTGTGGAAGCTTCTAGAAAGCCTTTCCATTGGATAAGGGCCCTGAGACCCTGTGGAGGCTGACAGAGGGGAAAAAGTTGTGCCAAGCACAGCTCTGAGAATGCCCTGCAACTTGGGGAAATCAGGCTGTCTGCTTCAGCTCTGTACTGCTATTCTGGTAGAGAAACAGGTCCCTAGGCTTTATCCTATTTCGAAGTGCCTCTCACCTCACAATCATGCAGCTGTAATTCAGACACTCTCCAGTCTTTGACGGGAGCACCAAATGAAACCCACTGGCATGGCTTGCATCTAACCAAGGCGAATAGCACTCAGGCTGGGCTTTGTCATAGACTATGCAGAGGCGGGACCCTGGGGAGGATAAAACAACTTGTCTGGGCCTGATGGCCAAACCTGGGTCCCCCAGAGTGCACTCCTGTTGGCATAGGATCCCTGGTGATTGGAGCCAGCCCATATTAAGCAGGTGGATTGGCTCCCAGTAGCCAAGTCCTAGAATTTTTTATTTTTTTTAGAAAAGGGGCCCAGAGGAGGGTGGGTGGAAGGGTGGGGTAACTCGGGGCCAGAAATTAGAACTTCACCCTGTCAGAAACAGAAGCTCGAGTAGGGGTCCGTAGCTAGCTAGCTCTGAGAGCTCTGCCAGTCAGTGAGAATCCGGATCCTGCCAGCGGACCCCCGCGTGCCGCCCCAAGTTGAGACGCGGCATTATTCGCCTCTGATTCTCTGGACCAGGTTGGGAGCCAGGTCTGGAAAGCCTCGAACTTGACTCCTTACCGGAGAATGATTTTTTCCCCTGTGGCCCTGGATCTTCAGATACCCGGAGATGGAACTCCAGTTGGAGTACAAGGCCCGAGGTTGGAGGCTCACGAGGTGGGGGAAGGAAGAGAAAGTGGTAGCGAGCGCGGGGGAAGGGGTGGCTAGCTGGGATCCTCCAGCCTCCCCCACCTGAAACTTTGGAGCTGCGAACAAGTTCAAAAGATATTACCGTTTCTGCTCGGTGAAAAAGGAGGCCTAGCCTCGCTCAGACCCCTTGTCTCCCAGTAAAAGCCCCAAACTTCCAGAATGTTTCCCTCGCTGTTTTGGTTGCAAACCAACAAGAGAGGTTCCCGCCCATCCTAAAAGATTAAGGTAACAGTCTGGGAGGGATCAGAACCCTAGAAGCACAAAAAATATCCTGATGAGAGAAGACAGGTAGAAGTAGAGTCTCCAGTCATCTAGTTCTTTTTGAGGATATTTCACCCTATCTCATTTCCCATCTTTGAGCCTTGGACCTGGTGCAACATACCTAGCGCCAAAATGTAAAATGTAGAACCTACAAAAAGAGTGAGGTTGGAGATCAAAATCACAGATGGCAGGGAATAGAAGATGGCAGGCGAGTCTCCGGGATGCGTGAGGCAGCAAAAGGCTGGGGATCAGTACACAGACATAGTAGTTACTCCCCACTCACCATTCTCCGGGGGGAAGGGCGCCCCAGTTGCGCTCTCCGGCTCAACCAGGAAGGGGGAGGGGCGGGACTGGCGGGGGAACGAGGCGGTGACGTCAGACTCGGCGGAGCCAATCAGAGGCTGACCTGGGGAGGGAGCGTGAAAGGATGAATGAAAAGTCCGGAGCCGGAGCGCGCCCGGGCCAGAGCAGCAGCAGAGGCAGAGCGGAGAGCTAGGGAGGTGAGGCCCGCTTTGCCCTGCTCGCCTTGGCTCGGCGGAGGCCGCGATCTCGGCGGGCGCCTCCACCCCGGCGCCCGCTGAGCCCTGGCACCTCGGACTCAGGGCCATGGCTCTCCGTGGGCGGGAACGTGCCGGGAGGACCGCGCGGGAGAGCACAGATGGGCACACTAGGCTCGATGTAAGTGGCCTGGTCGGCTCAGGGCACGAGGTGGGCTAGCGCCTCGGAATGCAGCGTGCTGGCGCCTCCGCCACGAGGGGCCAGCCGAGCGCTACACCCTCCTCGAGGCTCCTGGGACCTCCTTGACAATTCCCTTTCCTGATCGGAACCCCCACCAACCTCTAGGGCACCTCTAGCTTCGGACCCCCGGCCATTTTCACAGCCCTGGGTGATTTCAGGACCTCTTTGTACAATGCCATTTCTCTGGGGGCTCCTGTGGGGCCTGGGACTCGGTTCACCTTCCGGCCCGCCCTCCGCTTTCCTCCCTCTTCTCCATTTCTTGGGTGCTCTCTCGGAACCCTTCTCGGGTGGGGTCTTTACCCTTTTCTTCTCTCCTTGAGAGGCTCTCTTAGGGGAGTCTCTGGGTCGCCTCCCACCCCACCCCCCACCCGCTTCCCTCTCTCTTTGGGTTGCCGGGATTTCCCTGTTTCCTACTGGGATGCCTCCGGGGTTTTACCCCTAGGATTTCTCTGCCCTCTCCCCTTTTTGGTCAGCAGCTTAGATCCAGCCCTTTCCCCTGCACGAGTTCCGCTTCGCTTCCACCGTCCTTGCGAGTTGGGAGGTGTGTGGTGGGGCTAGTTCCTCGCCTCCCCACTGCGACCCCAACGTGGAGGCTCTGGCTCCGCTGAAAGCTAAGGCTCAGGCTATCGGATGCGCCCCGGATCTTCCAAAGGAGGGCAATGGAGACCCCGTGAGGTTTGGGAGGCCTCCGCCTCGGTCCCTGCGGTCTTCCCGGGTGGCACGAAAAGCCCGTGAGTCTCTCCTCCCAGGGACCAGAGAAACTCCTGCTTCTTCTCGAATGGGGGGCTGGAAACCGGGTGTCACAAGGTTTTGGGGTCGGGGGTATTCCCGGACTTTGGACACCATCGGCCCTCGCCTCTTTTCCACGCCTTTTTCGGTCTCTATCGTGTCTGTATCTCTATGTCTCTGAGTCTTTTCCTGTCTTGAACTCTGTTTCTCTCTTCATCTCCCACCTCTACCCGTGTACCCTCTCCCCAGCCCCCACCGGCGGGCAACCGAGAGGCTGCGGCGGTGCAGGCGTCGGCAGCGGCAGCCGAGAGGCTGCGTGGAAGAGGCGGCGGCGGCAGCCAGGAGGCGGGGTTGGTTGTTATCTTTGGTTATCTAGCTGTATGAGTGGTGTGGAGTCTTCATAAAGCTAGATAACCGAAAGTAAAAATAACCCCATACACTGCGCAGAGGGGCCCCAGGAAAACTGGCCGCACCGGCGGGCGGGGGAGGCCTAAGCGAAGGGCTAGAGCTGCCAGGACCCACGGGCCATGGGAGGCGAGAAGAGGACCCGGCGGCCCGCGGGCCTCAAGACCGCACCGGTCGGGGCGACTTTCCACCCTCCAACTCCGGTTCGCGCAGGTAGGAGTCGCCTTCCCATTTCGCATTAGCCAGGTTCAGTATCCTCCCCCGCCAAGTTAGCGGGTGGCAAGACAGGGGCATTGTGGTTACGTCTCGGGATGGGGCCTTTTCTGGCAGTCTGCAGACTGGGTCACTGCCAGGAAAGCTGCTCCACAGGAGGGATCTGTTGAAGTCTCTTGCATGGTTATTCGGGACAGTGCCTGGGGTTCCTGGCCGAGGCTTCTCCCGTGGGCGCTAGTGAACAGCTTTCTGCAGGCTATTCACAGCTATTGCTGGGGCGGGAGAGTTTGAGGGAGGTCACCTGAGACCGCTAGTTTTTGCTTTGATCGGCTCCCTGAAGCCATATAGGTCTATTCAGCTTGGTAGGGAGCAGAGAATGGCAAAGTGGAGATAAGTGGAAGTAGGCTGAAAGTACTGGGTTGAGGGTAGGGGGAGTTGCTCAAAAAGAGGACAGGGTGGCTGGGGAACCTTTTTGTCCAGCCCAGGTTCTGAGGCAATGGAGTGCCAAATATTTCTCAGCTTTCTTGTTTTCATATTCTTTCCTCCTTCCCACTCAGGACCCAAATCTGATGTCTTGAAAAGCTTCTCATGAAGCTTTGTCTCCACTGGCCAAAGGGGTTGAGTTGGGGCCTTTCAGGACACCCTACCTTCCCATCCTATCCTCTCTTGGAAGTCATCTCCAAGAGCAAAAGGCCTCAAGGAGCTCAAACACAAAGGAATTTGTAGCTTGGTATTTATGCTGCCCAGAGAAAGCAAAGAATTAGAGAGATTAATCAGGGCCTTTCCTAAAAGAATCCATTTATCTGGCCTGACCTAAATATTTTAAGCAAAAGAGTATTTAGGTGCAGTTAAAAGGAGGATGGTCTAGTCACTTGATAGAATACAAGTAAATGTAGCAAAGCTAGAAGTAGCCCCCTCTGCATTTATTACCTCTCCTCATCCCAACAACTCCCCCCATCAGACCCCCACCCTACCCCACCCCGAATTGAATTCCAGAACACAGGGCAGGGAAGTAAGGAATCAAAAGAGGGCAGGAGAACTGGACAAATAACCTTGTACTGACTCCTGTTTCCTGTGTAAATTTAAAATTTCCTCCCAGGAACTGACTTTATAGCTATAGGATTATGATTCAATTATGCATTATGTTAGAAATATTAGGGAATCCAAGCTAAAACAGTTGGGCTTCAGAGATCCAAGAGTACATATGTCTTCTTCCTCTAGAGGTTTGGAGGAAAGAGAGATTAACGGCCTTGTTGCTTTCTCAGCCATTTGGAATCTGGCTTTTTTGGAGAGGGGGAGCTGGAGACAGGATTAAGGAGAAAGGGAGCGGGTTTGGGGCTGGCACTAATAATCCCTAACACCACACCGCATTTCCTGTTAATAGCACTCTGCTTACATGCCTTTCTTTGATCCTCCAGCACTGTGAGGTAGCTGTTATTAACCCCATTTTACAGATAAGGAGCTACAGACTTGCTAATGTCATTCAGTGGTTTCAAATCCAATGCATTTTCTACTTCTCTACACTTGCTTGAGGGAAGGACTAGAGAGGGTGAGCTAAGAAGGGAGGGAATCAGTGCCTTGGGAGAGAGGGAAAGCCTGCAAAGGGATACAAGAAGAACACGGGCTGGGGAGTTGGGATCAGAGGAGGGAAACACCCGGAAACATAGACTTAAAATTATTTTTCATGTAGCTGGCTGGAAATGTGTATTTGGGATCTGCTGAGGCTCATTCACATGAGACTTAGAACCTACATTATTAACCACACAACGGGTTTATATTATTATTGTTATATCCATTAACACATTTGACCATAGGATCTCCAAAGGAGAATAGAGGGCCTGAGGGAACTGGTGGGTTGAGGGTTCACATCCTACAAAACAAACACCTCAGTGAAAAGGGGGAATAGAAGCCAGGAGGAGTGTGGGGGTGAGGATTTGTGTCTGCCTTATGTGTACATATGATGTGTGGGTGTGTGGATGGGCTTGTCAGGAGAATTATGGGTGACAGTGTTTGTGAGCTGTGTATGTCTGCTTATGAGGGTGAGAAACTGAATGGTGTGTGACCTGGTATGAGACTGGATGTGTGTGATCCATGGTGGGTAGGAAGCTCAGTTGTGAGATTAGAGATGCCTGACTTTGTATAGATATAAATTCACTACAGAAAGAGACATTCTGGGATTTGGGGGACTTTACCAAATGCAGACATCACAGTAACACCACTAACTCCTGCCTTCTGCCTCCCCCAACCTTTGTACCAAGTAGCACCTCCTCCAGGTAAACCCAACAGGAGAACTGATGGAATGAGGGTGCATGAAGGCTGGGTTGAAAGAGGCTCAGAAGGGCCTCACCAACTACCAGATAGAAAAATTTCTCTTTTGCACCATCACGCTTCTGTCTGTGTCCAAGAATTTTTAGTTCTGTTCTTCAGATCTTGCAACATCTACCTATTCCTACTGAAGAATAAATTCTAAGCTGGTTTCTTTACTCTTTCTCCCCTTGACTCTTTATCCCTTTACCCTCCTATTGGATTCTGAGTCCAGGAGTTCAATGGCAATTTTCTTGTTAATATCTGTCTCAAGTTTTGCATTTTCACTCACATTCTCACCTCGGGACAAATTTTTCCCAATTCTAGGCATAAAAGCATCTTGTTGAAAGGTCCTTACAGCCATCATCAGGAGTCATCACAATCAGCAAGCCTAGGGATGGAAGAGAAAGAGCAAATGTGACTGAGCCAAGGTCTATGATTAGGTGCCATCATTTACCAGCTGTGCAGATCTCTGAGCCTCAGCTCCGATATTTGTATAATGGGGATAAAAATTTATATCCTCAAGATTGTTACATATACAAGTTATGTAACTATACAGGATATGTATACAATCTTGTACATATACAGGATTCTGTATAAAAGATCTCATATTATGATACCCACAGGTAAAGAGTAATTCTTAGATTGCAGAAGAGTTAAAGATTACAGTTTGGAATGACTGAAAGCATATGATTGATCTCAGAATGCAAAAAGGACAGCGCTTAGCCATATTCTTGACTGAAGATCTCAAAACATTTAAACTTGAGGAAGTTCCTCATTTCCCAGCTTTGCAGTTGAAAAGGGACTCTTGGGACCTAAGGAAGCAGTGTCTGAAGTGAGGGGAGAGGAGGAACAGATCTCTGGAAGCCTGTTAAGGGAAGAGGCTGGACTCCATGTGTAGAATGACCATTGTGTTTTTTCTCCTTAATAGATGTTACCATATATTGATAAGAGTACTTATGGTTAGTAAACTGACTTACGTCGATAGATACAGCATGCATAATAATAATTCCAAGTTTATTCTATTAATTCTAGAGTTACTAAAAAGAGTTTACTAAAGGGCAAGTTAGGTAGTGTGTATAATTAACGAACCAAACAGGGATCTGCCTATCAGCACACAGACTTTTCATCATCACTGAGTGACTTTAAGAAGTGATGTTTTCTGTCCTCTTGCCTCCTGGCCCCTCGCCCCACCCTCCAAACCCCCAACTCCCCCAAGATTGATAACTCACTGGAAAACACAGACTCCTGTACATTTTTCTACATCTGGAAGTCCTTGAAGTCTGCACTTCCCAAGGTTTGGGAGTTGAAATACTGATAATTATTTCTTCACCTCCTTTCCACCCTGATGTTCTGGGGACATATGACCTTTCCTCCTCCTTTCCTTTGCTATTGGGACCTCAGAGATCTTGAGTAGTTATAGTTGGCACACCCTGCCTCATCCATGCTAACTTGTGTAGGAGGTAAATGAGTTTAGGTTAATGCTTTGAAATCATTGGAAGGAAAGAGTAGACAGAACTATAAAAACATTCTTAGAGCTTTGAGGAGAATGAGGGACAGAGTTATAGGAGGTAAGTTTTGGTGGGTACATATTTAGATGGGACAGAGGTGAGAGAAAAGGGGAACCCTTTCTTGCCACCAGGCTCTCCCAGGGCTCAGAGTGACACCCCCCTCTTCCTGCCCTAATCCCCCCATTAAGGCTGCTCTGAGTTTGTTATGACAGCGGCTGAAGGCAGCTGAATTGCTGTTTGCTGTGTCTGCTAATTGGACTGAAGGGTTGGAATCTGGACACTGAAAGAGACCATTGTTGCTGTTTACCTTCCACAACTGCCTCCCTGGGGACCTTCTGGGTGAAGGGGAACAGCACGCCCTCAGGGTCATTGCACCCATTCCCTGTTCCTGCACAAAGGATGGGGTGGGGGGACAGTTCACCTCATTGCCTTGGGGTGGTTTGAGCTTCTACAGCACAGAAGAGACAAGCCCAACACCTGAGTCAGTCTCCAAGCCAGGCTTGGGGCCATCGGGAACTCCTAGGAGAGGGGGAGTTATATGCTTGTCCTTCTCTTTCCTGTTCATTACCTTCTTCAGGGACCCTAGCATTGCCTTTTCCTCCAGCTGATCAGGCTTAACCTCTGAAATTTTTCTTATCTGTTTTCTTCCATGCCAGTGATTCTCAACTCGGTTATGCACCAAAATCACCTAGGAAGCTTTAAAAAAAAATACTGATGTTTGGGTCCAGCCCAGACCAATGAAACCAGAGAATCTGAGAATGAGGCCTAGGCATCACTATCATTTAAAAGCTCCCTTAGCATGTCTGATGTGCAGCTAGGGTTAAGATCCACCAATATAGAATCATCTCTTTGCCTGGGGAACACACACACACATACCCCTGTGCATGTACATGCAGGCACACACACGCCCTTTCCTACCCTACCTTTTCCCCCAAGCTCCTAACATCTAAACACTATCAGGCACATTGTCTATCTTCCTCATTTTTATTGCTAAATTCCTTGTAGGAACCTTAGAATTTAGGATGGAATTTAGAGGTCTGTAACTTGTCAGCTATCTCAGCCTGAGCTCTACCCCAAACGCAGGAACTCCATCTCCCTGTTGACTTCCAAGTAGGATCCAGATGAAGACTGAGCTAATCCTGGACACTTAAGTGATTAGGAATGAAGGAGTGTGAGGTTCAGAGTTTCATTGACTCTTGATGTCTTCCTCCTCCAAAGTAGTGTTGGCAATTTGGAAATCTTCAAAGAGGAGGAACTTTCTTCAGAAATATATCTGCCCCTTTCCTTACTCTTTCCAAATGTTTCTGCTTCTTCTCTTCCCTTTAGCCCCTCACCTGGGTGCGGGTGGGTGCTGCACCACCCTCCTTCTCTCTTTCCTCCACACGGGCGCCAGAGTCGTATCCAGCACCATGGACAGCTCCCGGGCGGTGAGTGAGGTGACTGCGCTGACCCCCTTTGGGAGGGTTAAGAGAGGGTCCTCCTGTCTGCACAGTCAGATATCAAAGACTCTAGAATTTTTAATCTTTGGGAGTTGTTTTCAGGCATTTGTGGAGTCTCAGGGAGAAGAAAAGGCTGAGGACATTTGTCATTCTGTCTCCAGGAAATTGTCTTCGTTGGGGAGTCTGAATGAGAGGGCCTTCTCCAGCAGTAGGAAGGATGAGAGTTAAATTTCAGGAAGGGTTTAACCTAAGCTCATGTAAGATACAGAGGGTTTGATCAGGTAGAGCCTTAGATAACATCAGCTCTATATCCCTCATTTTACAGATCTCAAGAAAGTGGAAGAGGTGTGACCAAGGTCACTCAGCTGGTTAGTGAAAAGGTGAAAACCCAGGCTCTTGTTTTCTAGCTTGACTCTGCTTATTGTGTCTGATACCTCCTTTGGGAGTCTCCCTGCCTGAGCTGGGGGGAGCAGGCTTATTGCTTGTAGGGAGAGTTCACAGGTTGCCCCCATACCAAAAAGGACAGTATGCATGTCTGAGCATGTGAGGTGTCCATACAAGTCACAAAAGGGGTGGAGCTGACTACTCTGTCTGTCTGAGGACATTTGGAGGGAAGGCCTCAGGGAGAAGCACAGGAGAAGGCATACCTAGCAGTAGCTGACAAGCCCATGGGAGAAAAGGCAATGGGGCAACCATCTGCCAGGGCAGAGAGGCCAGTGGATGGCCACAAGGAGTCTCTAGAGGCCAGCAAGAGTCATGCAAACTGGAACGGGGCCTGGGAAAGGCCCTTCTGTGTGCCCAGTCCTGCTCCCCCAACACTGCAAGCCTAGAAACAAAGGGGCCATTCTGTCTAGGATTTGATGCCGCCATCTCCGGCTGGCAGTGCCAGGTGGTGGGGGCATCAGGGGTGTCAATCCATTACCCCCCCAACTTTCTAGGTCCTCTGGGGCTGGATGTTGGGGAGGTGGGTGTTCCATGCTATGTTGCCATGGCAACCACCCCAACCCCCACCTTCCAAAGCACAAAGAGGGACAGCTTTCACCCCTACCCCCGGGAAGAACCTGGGTCTGGTTGGGAATCTTCCCTTGGGAATCCTCCTTTCTGATGCACAAGCCATGGCATACATAAGCATCACCCTCTTTTCAGCACCAGGAGCTGAGACCATGCAGGCGGGGAGGCTGGTGCATCCAAAGTCTCTGGGCAAGATTGTACAAGTGAGCCCCTTGCACTTAACCTTCTCTCCCCCTAAGTTCTCCTGTCCCTCACCTTTAGCCAAGGTCATCCTAGGCCTTCTTCACTGAAGCGACAGGGCCTTGACCTTCAACTCTTTCCCACATGTGAAGGACACCCCACTACTCCCAGCAAGCCTCCAGGCTGTGGGAATGGAGAAGAGGGGGTCATTCCTGCCACCCTCCATCTGTACCCTCCACCATTACTCATTAGGAATTCTGCCCCCTCCTTCCGCTCGTTAAGCCTGATTTGCATATATTTGCATAATACAACTCATTTGCATTCCAGGAGGCTCATGGTAGGAGCCAGGAAAAAAGGGGAGGGTGGTTTGGAGAAGAGAGAAAATGGGAGAGATTTTGTTTTCATCAAAGTGTGTGTTGGGGGGAGGTGACAGGAAGAGGACAGAAATAAAAACTCACACTACTTTCTTTCTTCCCTTCTGCCCTCCCTCCCTGAGCTGGACTCAGATGCCAAAGAGAGATGCCAAGGGGCCGGCTTTTCTGTCCTTTTTTGTCTTGCTTCCTCTGGCCTTGGCTCCCCAGCCTGGCCTCCTACCTTGTTGGGCTCAGGCTTCAGAAAGAAAGAGGCAGGGGTAGGAGGCAAGGCTGTGGGAACGGAAGCAGGAGAGGGAGGCCGCCATCTTAGGTACCCGGCGCCTATAAAATGGCGTCTCTGACAGGTGTGGGCTGAGAGCCAGCCCTGGTTCGTGGACATGGAGGGAGATGAGACCATGAGAAGAACTTGCTGGCTAGTCAGAAACATAGCTGAGTCTTCCTTCCAGTGGAATTGGGAAAAGAGGATGGGGAGAGAAGGAAGGAGGGAGAGAGAAATGGCAGCCCCAGAAGACAGTGAACCTCACACAGGAACAAGAGTGGTAGGGAGGCCTCTTGCTGGGTTTAGTTCCAGAGGTCAGAGGACTTGCAGGATTATGAATAATGTTAAAAAAAAATACTGGAGGAATCAGAACTGGGAGTATCACCAAGAGGAGGGAGAGGATAAGGTGTGGGCAGGCAGGATAATCTCTGTTTGAGGGTTTCTCTGGGGCCAGCGAAGGGCTGCTGTGTACTTAAGGTGAAGCCCCAAGTCTTCTCTCCTCAGCCTATCAGTCTGGTTTCCATCTTCATAACTGGTGAAACCTGTGCCCCCTCTGGCCACTCACACAGCTCTTCAACCAGACCCAATGGCCTTTGCTCAGGTCTGGTGACCTCTGTGGAACATTTCAGGCTGATATCCATCCTGTCTTCTCCTTCGGCCTTTGATTCTTCTTTTATATCCCTGATTACTCATTCTGGGTTCTAGTCATTCAGTCCTCTCGGTAGACCAGTTCTCCAGCCTGAAGTGTTTCCCCAAGGTTCTGCTCTCAGCTTTTTTTCTTCCTTTCCACTCACACTCTTTCACTTTTATCACTGCAACCATCATTTGGAATTATAAACACTCATTTCTCTAAATTCCAGATTTGTACCCTAACTACTGCCTGTGGTTCTGCCATTAGCTCCTAGATTAGAGACTGGAGTGGTGCATCTGATTGGCTAAGCTTGGACCACATGACCAGACCCTAGCTGTAAGGAATCCTGGAAAAGTACCTGTGCTTTTGGATTCTGTAGTGGCATATAAGAACAGCCTTCCTCCAACATTTGTGAATTGGCCATTCCCCAGACATAGGGAGGCATTCAGATGCTCATCACTCAGCATTGTGCTTCAAGTCCTTTCCTATGTTCCTGCTTTCCTACCTCTATCAATAGCATCATATAAACTTCTAGGCCCTTGGGTTCAAATCCTGAGAATTATCCTGGGTTTGCCCTCTTCTTCCCCCTCATCTGGATCAGTCACATCAGAACCCATCACTTCGTCCTTTGTAGCACCTCTCATGTCCATGCCTTCCTTTCCCTTACCCCTGCCTCCATGTCAGCTATTTCATCCAACAAGCACTTATTGGATACTTACTGTATGCCAGGTGCTTTGCTGAAGAGGAAAGTGGAATACAAAGCTTCACTGAGGGCCTAGCAATCTAGTGAGGGAGGCAGACACAAATAATTGCAAGACAGTGTGAAGGCTGCTGACCTAAAGACCTGTGCAAAGTGCTGTAGGAGCATAGGGGCTGGAGCCCTGGGCCACCTTAGGGGAGTTAAGGAAGGTTTCCTAGAGGGGGCCAAAAGACCAAAAGATAAATGATAAAAGATAAAGGGGATAAAAGTGACAAAAGGTGGACAGGGGGGTATCAGTCTAAGGAGTTTAAGGACGTAGACAGCATATGTGAAGACACGGAGGTAGGAAAGTGCTTGGTGTGTTAGGGGACTAGAATGTCCATCAAGGGGAGTCTGGGCTGGGAGGAGATGGGAAATGGAAGCAGAAGTTCCGGTGTTAAAGGCCTTATGTGTTTCACCAAGGAGCCTGGATTTGATAGGTGTACTGAGAAGTTAGTTGACAGTCTCAGAGATGCTAGGTGCAGAGTATGGCTCAGGGGCAGCACGTAACCTCTTTCAGGAGGAAGGGGGAAACCTGAATCTAGCTGCTCACTGAGCCCACCACCAACCAGATGTTTAACTGGCCCTTGGCTGTTCCTGAACAAATGAAGGAACATGAAAGAACTGGGAGCCCCTGAAGAAGGGTCTCTGCCTCTCCCCCTGTAGAGTTTCCCTCACCACCACCCCGCCCTACGCAAACACGCATACACACCTGCACACCCAGGGCAGGCTTGTGGGAGCTTTCTGGGGAGAGATGTGGAAAGGCCAAGTTTGGTCCCCAGCACAATGAGTGCCCTGAGGTCTGGATAGGAGATGGACCTCTGGGGACTGGAGTGAAGAACAGAGAAGTTCAGTCCTGGAAACTGCCTGGAGGAGGGAGTGAGTGAAGGGGTAAGGGGGGATTCAGGGGTGGGCCGAGGCTCTGAGAAGATTCTTCCTAAAGAAAGAGAGTGAGAAGCTGGAGAGACAGCTGAAGAGATGATGAGGCCACTGGGGTGGAATGTAAGTCAGGGTGCCGCCTACCACCCCTCCCCCAGGCCCAGCGTCTACACAAAGACCTCTCTGTGAGTGGCCGTGGAAGTGGCCCTGTCAGGTGAGGGGGCTTAGCTCCCAGGGCCTATTAGGGGTGGGCTGGAATGGGGTTGGATGAAAGGGAGGGTGAGGGGTGGCCTCAAGCTTTAACCAGGTCCTGGAAGGAAATGGAAGCCCAGATTTGGCTAGGTCTCGCTAGTGAGTGGAGCTGTTCTCAGGACAGGCTCCTCTCCAGGACTCAGTCAAGCCCCTTAGGTCCCAAGCACCAAGGCCCTGCCCCTGCGCCCTCCCCATTTCTTCCCAGGTGTAATTCTGGTCGTGCCAGGCCTCTCCAGCCTGCCTCCCCCAGCTGTACATGCCCTCCCACAGCGCCTTGACGACGAAGGCTGACTCTATCCTGACCCTCTCTCATCTTGCCAGCCTAGGAGACTGCTAGAGTCCCCTCCAGCAGTTGCATGGGGCTCCCCCACAGGGAGAGGGGCTGTCCTGGGAGGGTGTAAAGACAAGACTGACCAGAGCCTAAAAGAAATCCAAAGCTCCCTCAGCCTCCACACCCGGGCTTGTCCTCCCCGGGAGGTTTCTCTCCTTGCCTGGCCTGTGTCGCTTGTGCTAATCAGCAGTGTGGGAAGACCTTCTCCCCTACCTCCAACCCTCCCTGTATGCACTGTCCCTGCTAGTAAAAGTCTGGATCTGGGGCACTGGAAGCAGTAGAATGACAGCAGACACACCTCAGCTTGCAGGTTGCTCACAGATTTGATAGAAGGGCTCCATCCATGGGAAAAACAACAAAAGAAGGAGGTTTTGGTTTTTGACTCTGGAATCAGACAGGCTGGTCAAGATACAAATTCTATCATCTCTCCCTTACTAGGTGAGTGGCCTTGGACAAGTCACTTAATGTCTTTTTGAATCCTAACTTCCTTCCATGGTTATCCTGAGGATCAAATGGGTCAGTGTGGATGAAAGTGTGTTTTGCAAGGCTGTGTGCAGATGTCCAGTGTTCATTCTAAATGCTGAGAGCCACTGTAGGAAAGTGGGGACAATCAAGGAAGGCTTGTAGAGTTTGGAAATGATGGCATGGATTGCTGGGGAGGAGAATGAAGGGACTCTGGGTATAAAACATGATGAAGGCCTGCCTGGGAAGCGTGACTGGGCTTGGTGGACTGGCTGGAGGTCTCTGGTCTCAAGCAGGCAAGCATCTTGCTGAGACTGGTTTGGGAGGCACTTGTTTTTAACATCTGGGTGGTGAAGTGGACTCCATGACCACAGCTTCTTTCGTCCTTCTCAGGAAGAACTTCCTGCTGGCCCTGTGTGAATACTGTTTAGCAATCCCAGAAAGAGGGGAGTGATGGAGGGAGGCTCCGTTTCTCCGCGTTTTCCTAACCTGCTCTGCCCCCTCACCTCAGTGTTCTCCAGAGGGAACATTAGCCAAATGTGACCCTCCACTGAATATATACAAAATGGTACTTCCAAGCCCTGCCACTTCCAAGTCCCTGATTTTATGGTTCCTCAGCATTGTCAGGAGTGAACTAAATTCAGATTAATTTAGATCCCTCAGCCCATGGGCCAGGGAGACTTTGAGCAGGAGGGTCTTTTGTCTCTAAGCAGTCATTCCTTGTTGTACAAGCAAGAGGTGGGAGGAGGAATTGTTTGGCATCATCCCCCACAGATAGCAATAGAGCCTGTAGGCCTGGAGGAAAGGACCAGGCTGAGGCTGGCATATGGAGGGAGAGCCCTGGGCACAGGGGGCATGAGCTTCACCCAGCTGGGTCTGCCTTCTGCTCGGTTTGTCCATCTGGCACCAGCTGGCTTCCCGGCACTGCCCCGCAACCAACCAGACTCCTTCTTCTGCTGTTGCCATGGCAATTGGCTACCATCTTGTACTCAGGGCACTATCTCATATCTGAATTTTCCCATGGGGTTCCTGGAGGATGGGCGATAGGTCTCCAGGGATTCATCCCTTCCTCTTGATATCTGTCCAATGAAAATTCATATTAATAATATGATTTTTTAAATAGCCAAAATGAAAAGTTACTATATGTAAAGGTCTGCTAAGTAACTCCCTATGTGTTATTTAATATAGCTAAGAAAGAATGAGATAAAATTTAAGAGGTTCCCATCCAGTTTTCTGTTTCTATGACAGATTTTTCCTCTCTCTAACCAGGAAATTCTATGATCTTGCTTATTCCTGTCTTGGGAAGTCCTTCCCAATGTCTAACCAAGAGCTGTACTACTGAAGTACCAGTTCTTTGATCCTTGGCTTGACATGGCTAATTCGAGAGGTAAGGAAGGAACTGCCACCCAGGCTTCGTCACTTTATTGAACTTCCTGGACTCCAGTTGTTGGAATAGGGAAACTGAGACTTGGCTATATTAGTGAGAGGTCCAAGTGCCCCTTAAAGACTTGGGGGTCCTAAGTCTAAAACCGTTTTGTTTAGAGAAGGGGACTCAGTGTCACAAAATGCTTTGAAATTCCCCTTCCTTGCCCCGATCCCCACCCAAAGAAAGAGGCAGGAGCCAGAGACCTTTGGAAAGTAATAGTCTCCCAGGCTCCAGAGGTGTAGGGTGGGTCGGAAGGCAGTCTCCCCTCTCCAGCCATTGGGAGGTTCCAGTAGAGGGCCCCTGAGAGATCCTGGGACGGCGAGAATTCCCTCCCTCTAGAGCTCAAGCAGAAGGCAGAGAATGGTCACCTTGAACTAGAGGGGCATCTATAAGGGGCACTGAGCAGGGGCCAGCTTTTCGAGGGAATCTTGAATGAGGAGCAGGTGGAGAGAGAAAGGAGGCCATTCTCAACTGAGGAAGGGTGGGCTGGCAGGGAGGGGCTGGGGATAATTTATGATATCATTGTTCCCCGCCCCACTTTCCCAGCCCCCACCCTCTTCCCAGCCCCCTGCTACTGTACGGTTGCTAGGAGATGCTCACTCTGTCTGGGGCTGGGAGGGTGTAACAGGCGGAGACTGCTCCATCTGGACTCCTCCTCCCCCACCCAAGGGAGGGCCCGGCATTGAGCTTCATCTACCACCCCTTCCCAGGCCCTGACCGACACCAGTCTTCCTCTGTTGTTCCCCCAAATCCAGCCAGCCTGGGTTTAGTGGGGTTCCCAGACAGGCTGAAGATCTGCAGTAAAGAAGAGGGAAGGGAGCTGTGGAGGGAGAGGCTAGCAGACTTAGTAGGGACACTGAGGAACAGCTGACTCACCCTGGGGCCTCTGGGAGCCAGCCCAGGCCAGAAAGAGGGCTAGAGGGAGACAGGGACACAGGCCTCAAGGAGCCCAGGTTTGAGGGAGACTGTGTCCTTACCTTTGGGGAACTTTCAGTGTGATGGGTGAGGCAGACCTCCCAGCCTCACCCCTCTGTAGTATGGTCCGGTCAAGGTTAGGGACCTGGCAAAGACAGGGTTAGGGGGACAGGGCAGGTTGGGGAAGAGGTGGAGCAGGAAGGAAGGGGGCAAGTTTGGAAAGTCTGAGGAGAGTCTAGGTATGAGAGAGGTGACACAGATCTGAGCAGAGTTGGGCAGCGCAGGGATGTGGCTTAGATCCCCTCCTCTTTCTGAAATTCTCTTCTCAGAGTTTAAAGCCCACGGAGAAGTCAGGTGAGGTGACCTTTGGGGGCTCCCAACTCTGAAAAGTAATGCTGTGCCCACGACTGTGCTTCTGACACCTGATTTTTGTATAGCTGTTATTGATTTTATTCTTTCCTAGGCACAGCTTCCCTCTACCCCAGGGAGGAAGGAACAGACCTTGATTTGACAGCCACTTGCTTGTGTAAGCCCCTTCTTAGCCATTATCTCAGTTACTCTTCCAACAGTCCTGAAAACTGGGTGATACTGTCCTCACTTTACAAAGGCAGAATCAGAGCCCCAAGGACATGTAAGTTGCCCAGAGTCATAGGACTAGTAAGTTGGGCTGGGCTTCAAATGGGGCTTGATGTATCCCAAAGCATATGCTGTCTCCCTCCCCTGTGCCGACCTCCTGCAGGACTTGTTCTAAACGCAATTGGAGGGACTGAGAGGAAAGGGGAACAGATAGGCAGGGGGACTTCTCTGCATGTTATCAGCAGAGGAAGGGGCGCTCCTCAGGAGTAGGAGTGAAGTCTGAAGAATGCTAGAACAGTCCTTGCAGGTTGAAGACAGGATTGGAGAAGAGGCCATGGGATCTATAGAAGTCACCAAAATCCTCCCAGGTTGGTCCCTGGCCAAGGGAATATGCTCCCTGACTTCCTGAAGCAAGTTCCCTGGGCCACCACGTAGCCTCTCACCTGCTTGGGATCTGAGTTCTTGCCCTGGGCATCCCCCTCGCCCCAGCCATGGCCCTGGGTAGAACACCTAGAAGAGATGCCTAGACTCAGCCACCGTCATGGTGGCCCCCTTTTTCGTGAGGCCCTCCCCAGTCTCTCACCTTTCCTGGCCACTGGACACTTGCTCTCTCCCTCCTGCTACGGTCTCCATTCAAACAGAACCTTTTTCACTCTTGACATTTTTTCTTTTCAGACCAAAAAGAACCTACTTCACCCAGTTGGCCTGGGTCTCCTCTGAGAAGCTGCCCTGATTGACTGAAAGATGATGCTAAACTCTAGCAAGTTGAGCAGCTCCTCCAAGAAGCCCTTGAGCAGGATAGAAATGGGGAGGCCTTAGCCTCCAGCCTGGGCAGACCGTTATACCTGGAGCCATCTGGGATAAGACTTTGCTTCACCATTTCTCCCATGTCTACAAGCTGTCCATTCGGGACCATCCTGGTTTCTCTTGTGTCGTCCGAGTTGAGATTCCTATGAGATGGAAGTCCCGTCTCATGTCTAATAAAGACTCTTGAATATTGAACAACAGCACTAGTGGTAGTGGATGTTTCTGGGAGGGATAGGCGGGTCATTGAATGAGAGGAGGGCAGTACACGTCTCCCTCTAAAAGACAAATGCCATTGAAGCCACCATTGCAACAAAGAGGGAAGCCTCACTGAGACAGAACTCTCACCTGTGGAGGGTGGGTGGGGAGTGAAGATCTCCTTGGCTCCTTCCACCTCTCTCAGCCACCCCAAGGTTCCTGGGAACACCATCCATGATCTGGTCAGTCCCAACTCAGAGCAGTGGGCTGATACCCCCAGTCAAGGAGGCCCCTAGGTATCATCCAAAGGACCAAGAGAATGGGAGAGGGTGGGGTGGCTCCCCCATTGTACCTATGTAGTAGGTCACTGGGTGGCCCTCTGTCTCGGCCATAAAGGGACCATGCCTTAGAAATGTCCTCCTGGGTTTGGACAGGCCACAGAGATAGAGCACCCCTACTCCACAGGGCCACCCACTTTTGCTTCCTCTCTGTCCACCCTCAATAGAGAGAGAAGGGGATGAATCTGCCTAGCAAGAGGGATTCAGGTTAGACAGCAGGTAGGACTTCCCAGCAATACTTCGGGTGACCTGAGGGAGCAGAGGAACCACGAGAAGAAGGAGCTGTGCTCTTGACCTCATTTCCCCCATAACATACATGTATTGAACATATTCTCCTCAAAAGATTGGCCCCCTCTCATTCTCTAAAGAGTTCCTGCTGGAAAGTGTTAGCAGAGCCCAGGGTGTCCAAGCTTCCTACCACTCTCTAAAAGTCCTTCCTCTCATATAACAACTATCCCTCCATAGAGCTATAGTTTGTATCCTGGAATTTTTCTAAGTAAAAATGCTTAATACACATGATATAATTCTAACAGCACAAAAAGGAAAGTGTGTCTCCTTCCCACCCCTGTTCAGTCACCCACCTCCTCTCCCAGTATACCTACTTGTATCTGTGGTCCTCTCTGAAACACTCTGAATGCACCCAAGCACATATGTCTACACACACCACCCTCCTTCCATTTAAACACTGACCACAGCATTTTTAGCTCCTCTAGGCCAGGGGTCCTAGCCTAAGCTCAAGAAGAACCTCAGGGGATCCTTGCACCTGCTTAAGTTGCATGCAGAATGCTGGCTAGGCACCCGGGCATGGTTTCTAGGAAGAAGGAATGTATTCAGAGCCACCTGGTCTAGCCCAGTTTCTCATTTTACAGAGAAAACTGAGGCCAGAGTGGGGGAAGAGCTATATCCAGGTTCCTCAGCATGGTGGAGGCCCGTTAGGAGAATTTCAGGCTCCTCTAACACATGCCAAGGAGCCCGAGGGTCCCCAACAAGGACAGAGTCTAAGAGGGCTAATTGAGGCCAAGGTTGTAGCCAGGAAAAGTCAGCTTCATTTGAAAAGTTGTATTTAAGGGGCTGAGCCTGGGCTCACCAGGCCAGGAAAGCACTTCTGAGGTTCTCAGACCTCCTGTCAGGACCCTTCTCGCTGCTCAGTCTTGCAAGGACCTGTTGTGGCCCTGGGGGTGAGCCCCTGGATGAGAGGTGGAGACAGGGTCTGGATCACATGAAGGAAGTTGCCCAGGTCTGCCCTCCCCCTCCCGCTGTTTTTGTTTGGACTCTGGAGCCTGAGCATCAACCTTCCATGGTTTCCTTACCCTCTAGGTGTTGGTGGGGTCTGGGCAGCGAAAGGCAGCCACCGACTGGGACCAATCCTCTGCCTCCACTAGTGGCTTGGAAGGGAAGCTCCCGGTGAAGCAGTTGGGGCAGGCACAAGGAAGTGGGAGGAAAGAGCACAGGAAAGGAAAGCAGGACGCTGGTGACAGCAGGTGGGAGAGGAGTGGGTTGCCTTTTGGGAACAGAAAGACCCAGACCCAGACAGGAGCAGAAGGGGTGGGGAGAGGCCCCCGCTTCAACAGGGATGCCAGGACTGGGATGGGAGGGTCCAGGCGGACACTTAGGAATGTGCTCTCAGAGTCCCACTGAGCATATGCAGATGAAGCCTGTCTGTATGCAAATGAGACCGTCTGTATGCAGATGAGGAAAGAGGGCATTCTCTTCTCAGGGTTACCATAGAGCCCACCCCCCCCCACCCCCCGCCCTTTCCCTCAGGGCCCCAGCTGCAGGGCAGCCTGGGAGGAGGCCAGGCCCGGGGAGGAGCAACCTGCAGTAGAAGGTTAGACTTCAGGAAGGACTTACAAAAGGAAAATGGCCAGTTCTGGGACAGAAACTGGAGATGAAATGGGGAATAGAGAGGGGCTGCTGAATAAACCAGGCAAAAAAGATGGAGGTAGACTGTGAAAGAACATTTGAATCACCCAGAAACACAGGCAGAAACCTTTGAGAGGGAGGCAGGAATGAAAAGAACTTCGACTGAGAATCCACTTTGTGCCAGGTGTCACATGGAGTGTCTTCCACTCCCAGTCTCATTGTTCCTGGTGATAACCCCATGAGGCCTTTCACAGATGAGGCCCAGACAGACTGACACGTCCAGGTCACACAGTTTGCAAATGGCAACGCCCTGGCCTGTCTGACTCCATGGAAGGCAACCACAGCTTAGAACCTTCCTACTCCTTCCTAGCAAGCAGCTCCTCCTAACCTGAGAGGAATTGAAAAGCCTCAGGGTTTGGGAGGCTGTGCCTGGGTGAGGGTGCTGATAACACACTGACAGGAGGTGTGGCTGCCCTCAAGCCCCGATAGGTCCAGCAGAGGGCTGGGAACTGGCAGTGGAAGGTGAGGTGGGGCTGTTGGTGATAGCTGAGTGGGCAGAAACCAGGAGGAAGACATCAGGGCTGGAAGGATGCCGGAGATAATACAATAAGGGAAACTGAGGCCCAGAGAGATGGAGAGGATTGCCCTCCACACTCAGCGGATCCAAGTCCAAGCTGGGCCTGAACCCAAGGTACTGGGCCCCCAGCCCAGGGCCCCTTCCCGGGAGTGCAGAGGCTGGGAGTGGGGGTGTCTTTGAGAATAGCCTCTCCTCTTCCTCCGGTGGCCCCCGGCCCCCCACATCCAATGGTGTAGCCAAGGCCTTTGTGGGGAAGCCGGGGGAAGAGAGGCCCCTTGTTGGCCCATTCATCATGCCGGAGGCTCGGCCAATGCCAGCCCAGGCACCGGCTGGGCTTTCCTTCCTGGGGGTGCCAGCCAGCCCCCACCCGCTGCCACTGCCCTCTCCCCAGCTCTGTCGTTTCCTGGAGCCTCAGGACTTTGGCCCTGGTCCCGGCTGAAGGATGGCGGGGAGCCCCGGCCCCCGCGCTCCCCACACCTCGCCTTTCTCACGCTGGCACCAGAGCCGTGGGAACGCTGGACGGCAGCTGGGCACCGGTGCCCGGTTCTGCCCACCCCCAGCCCGGCCGACCTCAGAGAGGGGAGAACAGGCTGCCCCCAAAAAAAGGCCCCTCCGGGATGGGGCCCTAGAAATCCTTAGCACTAATTATGAATCTGGGGACAAACAAGGCATTTGCAAGTCAATTAGTGACAGAACTTTCCCAGGAAAGAGCTTCATCGAGGCTCAACTTCAGACAGGGCCACATGCTGGGTCATCTTGTCTCTCCCCCTGCCTCTGCCCTGCTTGAAGCTCAGGGATAGAGGCCGCCCAATGTTCTGCCAGCTCCTATGAGGCTGAGGGTCCCAGAGCCCTGAGTGGCATGAGGTGGGAAAGGGCAAGACAGCACACTGCTGAGGTCAGCTGGAGGTCACTATACGGCTGAACCAGGAGACATCTTGTCAGGGCCCTGGCCCCAGTACTACCTGTGACAGAAGCTGGTGGCTCCTGGATGGAATTGCAGGGAGACAGCTGTCCCAGACAGGATGGCATGGACGGGTTGACAGGAAAATAGAAGTCACTGCATTGTGAAAGGGCCAGGGAGAGGTGCTTCCCAGAGGACACAGAGAAACCAGGACAAGAGGAGACCAAGAGAGAGACAAATGGTCCCAGGCATCCGAGCTTGTGCCCAGGCAGGAGGCACACAACCCGATGGCTTTCAGCCACGCCCATGGGAACGTCAGGCCGACCGGCCTGCCATCTGGGGCCACTTCCCATAGAGAGGGAGACAGAGCCCATGAGGTGGCTGCTCCCAGGTGGGGAGGTCTTTAGCTGGGAGAGGGGCTCTCGCCTGAGAGGACCCCTTAATTGGGGGAAGAGAGCGAGGGAAGGGGCTGATGGAGGCAAAAGCCCTAGAGCCAGCCTCACCATCTGAGGGAGATTAAGGGATTATAATTAAAACGCGTTTGAGGGACTCCAAGCAGGTGGGTTGGGGCTGGTGCTAATGATCTAATTGCTGCCTTTAGCCAGGGCTTTAGCCAGGGCCTGGCTACTGGGGCTTGGTAATGAGTGGGGGTCGGTTTTTTTTTTTTACAGGAGGGTGGGTAAGAAGAGGTGGAGTTGAGGGGCCAGGAGGGGCAGTCTTTTTCTTCACGTTGAACACCTCAGCTCACAGGGTCACGTGCCCCCCGAGAGGCTCCCCCGACTACCCTCCCTGAGAATCCAAGGGGGAGGCGGCAGCATAATGGAGTTCTGGGAGGCCTAGAGAAGAATTCTGGGGGCCAGGAATGAGCAAAGAGGATACTTAGGTCCCTACAGAGGGGGGACACTGAGACAGGGGATGGTCAGGGTCTCCTTGGAACAATTGTAACAGCCAACAGTAACTGCGAATGTACTGTGTGCCAAGCACTGTACAAAACATTTTATAATTGGATTTAACCCTCACAACACGGTCAAGTAGGTCTCCCTCCCAGGACCAGAGCTGGGCCCAGCCCCCTGGCTAAGCAAACACCAAGGGTCACTGACCAGGGGTGGTTCCTTTTAGACCCATCCTTTCTAAGAAGAGATAGATGGACAAACCCTCTCTAGACTCTGAGAGACCTCAGGCTGAGAGTCAAAAGCATGCAGATTACAGCCTAAAGTCCCCTGACTGTGGGAGTCCAGTGTCACCTAGGCGGTGCTGCCCCCTCTCCTTCCTCATATTCAGAAAGCACACTAGGAAACTGGACACACATCAGGGGTCACACCACTA